TGAAATATTGTTTTAAAATATCCTTGGAGAGTTAAAATAATATTTTTTCGACTGTTTTTCCTTTCCTTTTCACAATCGTAGAAATAAATAATGAATTAAAATAACAAATACCAGGATATGCTATGCGCAAGTTCTGTTTCTATAATTTCAAATTCTTTTCATTTTTTTAATACATTTTTTGACTATGAAGACCAAATGTAAAGACTGATATCCTGGAATGCACGTTCCATTTGGCTTGTAATTTCTATCTCACAATGCTTTGTAAAATCATCTATCATACAAAACTCAATTGCCAACGTGTTAAATAAGAAAGAAAAAGTGAGTTTAAATCAAAGTACACTCAATATACTTTAGAAATTAATAGCAGTATCCAAGAAAACATAAGGAATCAAATAATTTGATGCCTCGTATATTACTTGATGTAAGGTTGAATAGAAAATTTGCGTGCCCAGTTCGCCGAAACGGCACAGTTTGGGCAATTTTCTGTAGTCACAAATTGGTTGCTGGAATACAGGGGTCATTGATTTGCTGTAGGTAACTTAGAGCGCCTGAGGGTGGTGCTCGGCGAGGTCGAAATTAATTTAGGAGGGCACTTTATTGTATTGCCCTGCGTCTCCTACTCTTATATAATAAAAAAGCGCCCAAGTGCGAGTCCATTCGCGCACGAAGGGTTCCGTACTATTATTTATAAAAGTGAGAGTCGGCCTCGCGCACGAATCGATCTTGCGTACATAAATTAAGGGAATCAATTTAGGCAAATCTTTAATGAATGTCTGAGTCTACCTCTTGTCCATTAAATACATCAATGTAAAGTAGGGCTTGCAAGGCAATCGACGAACTTATAAAGTTTCTGAAATGCATGTTCCCTCGGTTACTTACGGTTGTATAAATTTTATTACATATATTTATTGGTTATTTCATCGTCATCTATGTACATTTGTGTATGTATGGTGCGACGATCAGGGAATTTAAAAGCTTTGCCGTCCTTTTAGGTAATAGTATTAGTATTACTAGTATTACGCCTTTACAGACTTTTTAAGGTTCCGTACCCAAAGGGTGAAACGAAACCCCTTTTACTAAGACTCCGCTGTCTGTCTGTCTGTCCGTCTGTCACCAGTCTGTAACTCATGAACCGTGATAGTTACACAGTTGACATTTTCAGAGATTATGTATTTCTGTTGCCGCTATAACAACAAATACTAAAAAACAGAATAAAAAATATTTAAGAGGGGCTCCCACACAACAGACATGATTTTTTTCCTTTTTTATAGATAATGTGTACTGTAACAATGTAATTGTTTGAGAAAAAAATTCAAAAAAGGAACACCTACAGAGTTTCTTTCGCCTGTTTCTTCTCCGCTAGAGGAACCTCATTACGAAACGGTGATAGATCTAAAAATTGACTATCGATAGATGAAATGTATATTTCTTATATCGATGAAAAAATGATTTGATTTGATTAGATTTTGATTTGAATGCTAAGGAGCCCTTCGTGCGCGAGTCCGACTCGCGCTTGGCCGGGTTTTTTTTTTATTAGCGACCCACGAAAGACGGACCGTGCGGCGCGCCGCGTGGAATTCTTCCGAGCGCACACAAATTACCGGCCACGGGCTTTATTGCCACACGAAATGCTGAATTGGGGATAAGCGGAGCTCACAAAAAGTATCGGCGTGGCGGGCTAATGCGGCCCAGTAAATACGCGGCGGCGAACCAAAGGCTTTCGGGCCGGAATTAATATGGCGTGTACCGCGATTTCGTAGATAAGCGATATTGGGGCGTGCGGAAACACAAACAAGCAGTAATGAGGTCGCGGTTACAGGTTAAAACGTTGTATTTTTCTTGGCACATTGAACTTGGCGACTTGATAGAAAGAAAAGAAAACGAAAACACCGATTCTTTCGCGTTTATTAACATACTAGCTGCTGCCCGCGACTACGTCTGCGTAGAATAGGCCGAAGGCGTAACATTCAGACAGAAAGACAGATATATATAAAATATGTATATAGTATCTCTTATTCTGATGTAAAATCCAGGCAGTAGTATATGCGTGATAGAGTAACAAACATCCATCCATACATACAAACTTTCGCTATTATAATATTAGTAAGGATTTTGAATAACCATTTTATATTATTCTTATACATTAAAACATCTACGTTTTTCAAGAAAATTGGGAGTAATCTCATATGCGCTATTGGCGGTTTTGTGTGTATGGATATTTCATAAAAAATTATTTTACATCAACAAGGGCGAATGATGTAAACAAAACGATTATCCATTCACCAGGCGAAGGATCGACGGAGGCATAATTCGCGGGATCACGGCATTGCCGAGAATTCGGGGAAACGCCATTATGCCGACGGAATGAAATAGTATGTTGCGATGGGCATTTACTGGGGCATAGACCAACGCTTTAAATTCGTCATATATCTGCGGGTACTTTTTCCTTAGACCAGCTTAAACACTATCGCTAATATGCCATTTAATTTATTTTAAAAAAGTACCGCACCACTCTCACTACATTTATATACAAGCGGCACAGAAATTAATCAAGTTTCTATTTCGCCTCCTTTAAAAAGGACATGTTCTTAATTCTATAGTTTTAATTAGCCTCTTCTAAACATTACACGATACGTTATTCTCAGTGTCCTTCTTATTAAATCCGCGCCTTAAAAATTCCATCGGCGGAGGATTCTCGATTTTGGTGTTATTAAGACCTTCATTTTATCAAAAACAAAACCGAAACAAAAAGACAAAAAAAAGTTTTTTTTTTTATATACATACAGCCAACATAAATCTGCGAGCGTCGAAGAATACCCAGGTCCAAGTGGGAACATAGAAAAGGTTTTTATGGGCGCACGAGATAAAGTTGTTGCGCCGTAATGAATGATTCACACGTTAAATGGGTCAATTCATTATCTATGGCCCGATCTGATAACGGATCGTTATATATTATTTTTATTTGTATTTTTGTTTGTTTTCTCCGATGGCGTTACATTCCTACAGCGCCCGGGAGCGCGTAACAAGTGTGCTCACGACACCCGACTGTGCACACCTTGACTTTATCGCGAGAATCTGCGTATTTAAAATGTATAGATGCACTAGCTTGTTGCCTAGTCGTTACAAGATAAAAAATATTATGCTCATCTAACCCCAATCGGTCACGTTGCGTAGAACTTTACACATATTCAAATATTAATGTATAATTTTCTATTTGTGCCCTTTATATAACACGTATGCCTGAAGAAAAACGTTATAAATAAATGTTTAATGCATTAGAAATCCACACGTAAATGGCGAACAAGACTCGATACTTAAGTGTCCTTACAGTGTAAAGTCTCCATACGGAATTTATTACAGATAATTTCGATTTCCACCATGCATTATCGCCAAGATCGATATAGAAGATCCTTTACATTCCATCAAAGCGATAGCGCAGCATTTTTCGAAGTGCCGCATCCAAAATATAGCACATCACCGAATCAACCTGTTCCCAGAATTGAGTACAGTGGTTGTCGCTTAGCGGCGGTCTCGGGTTAGGACAAAAAAAAGCGCTGCCTCGCCAGGGGGCGCCGCCTGCTGTACTGGATGAGCCAGTGAAGTGCAGAGCATGATATATCACAACCTCGACGGAAATATATCTCTGTTCACCAATAAAATAAATATAAAGCATTTCAATAGTGCTATAAGATAGCAGAATTAGCAAAAAGCGATCACTGGCTCAAACGTCACAGTCTCCAGTACAATGAATTTCGTGAACTTTTCTCTGTCGATTTGTTGAATCTTCTTAACCCATACAGAAGATCTTATTATCTAAAAAGCAATACAAATGATTAGGTTAAGGTTAAGGCTATGTGGTAAAAGACATAATGATAGAATGATGTGACAAATAAGATCAGATTCACACATATTTTGTTGGAAATGATAGAAGAACGTGTTTAGGAGCTATTGAATTTAATTACAACTGCAGTACATTTTAATTTAGTTTTTATCTGACTTAATAATAACAACGCAGCTTGTCGCTTCCATAGAATGTAATTCTCGGTCGAAATACCTTTGGGCGCCAATAGCCGTAATACGACGGTGCTCGGGTGGTGACCACCACGCCGCGGACTTATTATGCGTTTAGCCTGCCGATAAAGTGGTGAGATACCACTAATCGAGGTATTAAATACGCGCACACACACACACATATATACTTTGTGCCCGCGAATTCACCGGCTTCATAGTTTCTTTTAGCATTTCGGCATCGCCAATAAAGTCTCATTATTATAAGACATTGCCGTTTTGAAACCGAAGGTAAAATTTCTTGCACAGCTCTAAACATTCGAATTACCATCATATAACCATGAGTTACTTTCGAGGATTAGAATTGTGGATTTCAAGGGAAATAAAATTACAACAATTAAATGGTAAATGGCCTCCGCATGCGAGTTTTTTTGGCGATATACTGACAAATATCTTTTAACCAAAATTATGTACGTATGGATGTGAAAGACGAAAATTCTGTGGGAGATCGCGTAATGTTAAAATCTACTCTTCGCTTGCCGTTTCACATTTTGTAAGCATGTTTTTTTATGTAAGAAATTTCCAACCGAGCAAATTCACCTGATTTTAAATAATTATGTCCAGCCACGGACATCAGCAGCAATTGAGAGCTAGTAATAGCGTTGCCAACCATTCAAAAGGTTGGCAACGCTACAACTACGACAACGCCTCACTTACCAGACGAAACATAAAAATATTTCTTGTGCAAAAAATTGCCAAGCGAGCAGACGATCCAGAGGTTAAATGATTACGGCGATTGTGAACATCTTAAACAACACCTCGAGCATTATGAATGCGTTGACAACCTTTAAGAAAGAAGTCACTGGTCACCTAGCTCACCAGACGTAACGCAAAGTGCTCGCCTTATACTTTACAACGTGCTTCTGGGTGGTACTTCCTCAAATGGTGCTGCTCTTTTAAATGTCTGTCGTGGTAGCTTCTTTGGTCACATTATGTGGTCGTCGCGACATGATCTGAAGAGGCTCATTATCTTGGGCCAAATAGATGGCAAACGTGCTTGGGGTAGGGCGCCTGCAAGATGGTCTGATGCTGTGAAGGGGCAGTGGGCGGTAGCATGTATCGCACTAATTGGCGATGTATCGTACGTCGTCACGATCCTCAGCATTGAAGGATGTAGAAGAAGTGGCAGTGCTTTGAAAACCGTCAGCCTCATCTAACCTTCGGTGAACTGCTGTGGAGCGTCGAGGTGATGGTACGCAGATGTTTCGGCCACGGGACCGTTTATTCCACCTCTTTGTAGCCAAATCACGGAGCGAGCCGTCCACGCCGCGGGAACAATGGCCCCTCGCAGACAATGCCACGCCTCGATTGTGCGAGAGACGTACAAACGGATAATCGGCCATTGTCATAGATCTTAATGCACAAAATCGCCGTCTTTATTGTTCTCGTTTGTCCGCCGTCGCGTGGCCGGACGGGAAATTCACTTTTGTTGACGACAGTGACGTCACCGCGGCGGATTAGGACCACAGCGATAGGTTCTACTAGTGATGAGACCAGAGCGAAGTACCATAACTCCATACTGCCTATTATCGGCGCATAGTAATATCTACGGCTATAAAAATCAAGAACATAATATGGCCGTCTTAGGCCTATTAATATATAGCCTACCAAAAATAGAGAAAATATAGTTTAAGCGAATACGTAGGCCGCTTAGGCTCCCGTGACGTGCCCTTATGGTAAGGACGGTACAGATAATATGTTAAAAATGATGAAAATGAATATTGGATATGAATATTTCTGTTGCTGAATTACAGATGGCGACAAAAAATCTCCTTTCCTATACGTTTTTCAGTAGAAAATTAAGCTAATCAAACTCTCCGATCCCTCCTAGCTTCAAATCGCGTCTCAAGTCGTTATCACCATAACGATCCATTAAATAGTAAAAAAGTTACCCGCACCTTTTCCAGTCCCATAAAACTTAGATATATAACTTTAGAAACATTCGACATTTGGCTCTTAATCTTCCTTGCATGCTTGATATTATCAGAAATTTCACTTATACCCATATGTAATACAAACAAGCAGGAATGGCAGCGGGTATTTTACTGGCTGTTTTCTTTAGTCCTAAATTCGGGAAACGTTTTGACTCTCATGTTTTTGGAATGAACTGACAAATTTTTGCTTACACGAATAAAACTTCCACTTTGTCTGAACAGTGTTGATGATCTAAGAGTGCAGGGGGATGAACGTGCTCACGGGCCGGCGGTTGACGCACGTCAGAGCAGCCGGACGTGACGCCATTTGCATGGGCTTCCGTTCACGGAGGAAGCTGACTCGGCGCCGCTGTGACGTCAAATGCGTAGTACGTCTACAATTGCAAAGGTCAACATGTTCGGACCTTCGAACAACATTTGATGATAAGATTCACCAACGAAAGAGACATCATAATCATCACCATCCTGCCCTCGTGTTGTCAGTGGTTTTTGGTTACGATTTTTACGACGGGCCGCCTGCCTAACGTCAACCCTCCTTGGGAAACAAACACCTAGATCTGGAACAAGTATTTGTGGATCACACAAATACTTGTCTCGTGTGTGGAATGAACGAGCGACCACTGGCGCTGAAGCCAATAGCTTAGTAACTGCGCCAACGGTATATTATCCTGCTGCCCGCGACTACGTCTGCGTAGAATAGGCTGAAGGCGTTACATTCAGAGAAGAAAGACAGATATACATAAAAATATGTATATGAATTATAGCCTATGTCTTATTTTGATGTATAAGCTATATTATTGTAGTTTCATTAAAATCCATTCAAGTATTTGCGTGAAAGAGTAACAAAGATCCATCCATACATAGAAACTTTCGCCTTTATAATATTATAAAATAAGGATATTCGAACTAAAGTAAAATGAATGTAAATTCGTTGTAAAAGTAATTACTGCGCATAAAATTTGATTCAAGCTTAGTGTCATCGAATCAATAAATTCTTAATTCCTTTAAAGACGTTAATGTATGTATCATTTTATCTCAAAATGATAATGTAAGCAGAACTTATTATAAGTCGAATTATTGTCTTCGGGTTAAGTGCAAATTATTCTACCAGCATGATTAACAGCGTCTTGTTGTTTGTTAACAGTGCAACAGCGACAGTCGCAGCTTTTAGGATAAACAAGAAAGGTCCCTATTTCCCTCATTAGAGACAATGAACGCAAAAAATTGATATCTAAAGATGATCAAAAGAAATTTTAGCTGAAGTACATGCTCTTGATCATCCCCATCTTCCCAGTCTCCCCTGGTCCCCTTCAATGCAGCAGCTGAATTAGCCTCATTATTCTGTTATCATTCGTGACAGGTGACATACGAGGGTCGACAAATAATTCGATAAAACTTATCGGGGGCCACGTGCCGCAAAGTCCTCGACGCGATTAGATCGGCAAATATTGGTCGAGGCGCCTCAAAGGACGCTATTGTAGCGACTTCCTCAAGTTCCCTATCGTCTTTATTTTTGCGTGTTTGCGTTTGCTACAGCTGCAAGTAGCGGTCTATTTTATGATGTTTCATTGTTTGTGAGACCTATTTTTTTTTTTAAGAGAATGAGAAAAACTAAATTGTTACTGCGCAATGGGCGTTAAATTTTAATATACTTCATTTAAATATTTACGAGGGAAATGAATTTCGTACTTGCAATTGTAGTTTTTTCTTGTCATAAAGATAATTTTTTAAATAAGTTCATTCAACAACATAAAACTCAAACTATCGCTCAAGCTTTACTGCTAAATCACTGAGATTTTCGCTTTGATTACGACGAAAATGTAATTATAGATGTACCAAGTACCAGTTTAAAATTCAACCCACTTTATTTAGCCAGATGGGGTAGACAGAATCAACGATTAACTTGTAACGTATGTTGTAAACTTACCAAATGTCGTGTAATTTTAATAAACGCAACAAGACTTTTCTTAGAAATCGAAACTATAGTGGCCTTACAATCGACTGAGAAGCAAATATAATTAAAAAGTCGATGTTGGTCTCGGCTCCCACCGCTCTAAGCGAACGTCTTACCTCTTATCAACATTATTTGTAAAAATACGCGACATCAAGCCGTCATTGGTCCTTTGCAGAGTCCGGCTGGGTATCCGGGTTGACTGCAACGCCAGTTCGGGTGGCCAACTTCACGCTACTTACGTTTGCGGGGTGACAGTGTCCGTAATAAAATGGCGCCGCCGCCTTCGGACCAAATTTCAGGGCACATTATTTGAGAGCCGTGAAGGACTATGACACAGATGCTATGCGGTAGCAACAGTCTATTGCGATATTCTATTACAAAAGATATTATTGAGCGCTCTTTAACAGCCACATAGCAAATAGAGATTAATAATATAAAGTAGCCGTAATTCACACGCCTACATGATTTTTTTTATATGAGAAAGTGGCAAACGAACTTGTGGTTCACCTGATGTTAAGTGATAAGCGCTGCCCATGGACATTTGAAACACTATTTTTCTAAACACTTTAGGGCTGCAAATGCGCTGCCTTCAATAAAGTGGGCCCCGGCTACCTCACACACCAGAGGAAACGCAGAAGTGTAACACTTCCACTTTACGCCGGTCTTCTGTGAGGTGGTACTTACCCGGACGGATCTGCCCTTTCGTGCAACAGTGAACACTGTTACCTGAACACTGTTACCTGGCCCCACCACAGTTCCTACACGATGAGCAAATCGCTCGATACGCTAGATCGTAAAAAATTATATCAATACCTCGCCTTCCCTTCTTGACAATAAGCGAGAATTTTTATAAACCTCTGATTGGCAGACTGTCAAGAAAAAGTTGAAAGGAGTGAAAACATTTAAAAGAGTGGACTATACTTATCTCAGTTATCAGACGAAACGGAACTTCACGCCGATCTTCTTTGAGTTCGTGGTTTTCCAAACGAGCCTACCTATTGCCGCAACATAGTAAGCTACTGCGTGGCTCTGCCACAGTTATAATGCTTCTGTATTGCTTACATTATACAATGATATTTTTTGTACTTACGTGAGTATAGATTACTAAATGATATTATATTTACGGATTTATTGCGTTTTTTAATTTTATGTCTCGTCATTTCGAACTCCTCAGCATTCATGGTCACGGGACAGACTGAGACGTTGCACGTCTGAATGTCATTGTTAGTTATTAATTTTATGTCGATCTACATTGGTAATACAATTAAAAATAAACGCGATAAATCCTTAAATGTGTATAGTTTTATCTGTCTATCGTCTATCGCAAAAATTGTTCCAAATACATATTACACGCATTTACTTCCCATTACTTTTTTGTTTACATTGCCATAGATTAAAAACGTGAGAATTTGTTGTTACACCTATTTGTACACATAGTTCATTGATTATCCGTAAACAAATCCCGATTTCGCTACGGCTGTTCGAAGATAAAGCGCCTCCAGAAAAGGAGACGTTCGTAACAGTCCCAATAGGCCCTTTTAAGCGGGAAACAATGGCACCTCAATCGCATCGCAACTTCCCACGTCCGTGCGGGCTTATTTCACCTAAGCAAATAGTCCGGCCGTGATATTGTGATGCCGTGGTAAATACTTAACGGTTCATAAATTGGGGGTCCACGGCCGACACCCCGGTGGGCTCTCACGGCGTCCGAGACCATTGTGCATCGGCTTATTATTGAGTTTACACCTCTGCGCCAGCTCCGATGCAGGCGGCCGAGTTGCGAGGAATCGCTATTGTATCGACAATCGGAAACTGCCAATGTCCGGCCCCAATACGACATTGTCGACGGTATGCACGTTTCGAAACATCAAACTGAAACTGACAATACTGTACTTTGAAAGCCATAGTCCCAATTTTCTTTACCACATTCTGTTACAATATGTAGAAGCGGGCTTAAAGCTCGTTGCAATAGGCTTTTGCACGGGGTCGGCATTAGATGAAACTTAACGTATCTCCGACTAACTGTAAAGTTCATACATGATACAAGCCTGGAATTTTTTAAAACGTTATTCTGGTTTATCGATCAAGATAATAATAGCGAGGAAAAACTTTTCGTTTATTTTCCTACGAATTTTAAATTTCATCTTAAGTGCAGAGAATAGCACTATAAAAATTAATAAAATTTGAATTTTTATAGTAAAAGTGTAAAAAAATTTAAAATGTCATGTGAAAAACTGGTAGTTTGCTGATGAAGGAAACACACTAGACGGCGCTAAAAGTGGAGATTTTCCTCGGTGTCGAGGATGCAGGTTCAAACCCTCGAAAAACTTTTCTACAACATTTAAAGATTACAATATCAATCCCTTCTGCATTCGGCACAGAGCCAGGGGATAGTAATTCACATTGTCCTTTAACAGATAACGCCGTGGAATATTACAATAATTTTCATCGACAGCACAACATACAATTCAGTGTAATAGGCGACAAGACAACAAAGGGAATAACTTCTGCTAAAAATGCACCATATCGAAATGTTTAATATGATCCAATTAACGGGAAGGCTGCAATTATTCGCGAATGGGACTCTATTGTGGCATCGGCTTGAGCCTGACATAATTACGCTAATACTC